TCTTGAAATGCCATTCGGAATTTCCACAATAATCATTTGTGGGCAGAAGAAAATCATTATGCCGTAACCGAAACCCATTTCCAACACTAATTTTTGGTTAACGTATGTGCAGGAATTATTGGCAACCATTCTTCTTGACGGACAGACTTACCTCAATTTTTTTCAACAACAGTTGCTTTTGCTGCTTGATGATGTTCCGTTAGTAAAAAGAAACAATATGTGTAGCGGTTCGTAATTATTTACAAACTGTTTATACAAATCGTTGGATTGGCCGCGGTGGGCCCCAAGAATGGCCACCAAGGTCCCCAGACCTCAACAGTTTAGATTTCTTTTTGTGGGGCTATCTTAAGACACTAGTGTACACTGCAGAGGAATTAAGAGAAAGAATAGTTGCACCTTGTGATAGAATAAAAAACACTCCAGGGGTATTTTAAAGAGTGCGTTCTGAAAATAAAAATTAATTTCAATTTTTTTCCTAAAACTTCAACACCCCGAGTTTTAGTAAGGAAACATTTTTTGACCATAGTTTATAAAGCAAACTAACATTAATTTTTCATGTTGATTCACACCCTTAAATATTCGCATAACATTAAGGAACACCCTGTAGAAACGGACCGACAGGTTTGTGTTTCAAAAATAAGCTGGGATTATTGGGTTTATTTAAAGAAAAAACTTTATTTGAGCATTTGTTCAAAACGTCTTAAATTTTGAGATAGTGGTCTTTATAAATATATATGAAATATGAAAAATTAAAGTCACATTTGCTCAGAAGTGGATTGGAATTATAGAAATGGCCACATTATTACTAACTATTTAGCTCAAATCCTTCGCCATTTTGTGAAGTTTACCTTCATATGAAAAAAGACACGCGAGTCGGCCCCTCAAGTATTATGAAGACTGTTGCGCCTGATATTTTTCATACTTGGAAAACGAAAGACAAGTATTACGTTTAAGCTGCTGGGGCAAATTATAGGATGGATTTCTGAACTTATATTACTCAAGCAAAATATCATATACACAGTTGTTTATTCTAAGATATTTTGAAATGACGCCATCATTATAAGTTGCAAATTGAACTTCACTATAACACACAACTTCTGGTAAACAAAAATTGATTTTTTATATTGATAGCCCAACAGGCTTTTTCATCATTGGATCTATATTTAAAAAGAGACTTTATGGGTAATGCCTTTTACTCATACAAGTTTGATCAAACCAAGCTAAGACTTGAAACTTGCAAGGTAATCTACAGGACAGGTTACGCCATGTAGGCGCATTGTTGGGAATAAGAATCCAGCTTAGTATTGAAGTTTGCAGTAAAGGTTATATATCCAAAACATACTCTCCTATCTGCTCAATTTAATTTTTTAATTCTTACTTTACTGCTAAATACATAGTACGTGTTTGTAGAAGTAAACAAATACAATATCAGCAGTAAAACAGAAAAAGCAACATGAAATAAATAATAGTTTAAAAAAACTTAAAAACACGCTTTTATAGCTAACCCAACTGAAAAGTAGAAAATAATTTTTAATTATAAAGAATTTATATTACAGTAGTAGACCTACTGGAATTTACAAATTGGTAGTGATGCTACCAGTGTCTGAGCAGTCATAGGACCCACTGAAGTGGAATAACCTGGAAGTTTTTTGTTTTGTGATACTGGAGGTTCAATTTTGTAACAAATCGATTTCCTGTAACACTGCATGTGCGTTTTCACACTGTTGCAGTGACTGTTACTGTGCCCGACATTAGTGAATTAAACTTACCTGGAACTTTTTTTAGCGATAAGAAAATATCGGAACATTAGTTGCCTTGAACGTGGTGTTGTATTTGTTACAAGGATTAGCATTTTATAGTCCATGATCTCGTTAGTAAATTGTTCACATATAGTGTAAAAATTGTGCACGTCACTGTTCTCTAAGCACATATTTACATTTGATGTATATAACTACCTACTTATTAGGTACTATTTGTACTGTCATATTCTATTTTATTTAAAATAAAAAAATTAAGATCACGTACAGTCATAATAAATGTATTAATAGTATAAAAAATGTTTTATTTATCATCAGACCAGCCTTCTTGAATAAGAGTAGTCAATAAATACCAATGGGTGGAATGTAGGAAACTTGTAGTTTTCTTGTACTGAAGCAGTAGCAACGGAAGAATCCTAGCAACCGCTACAAACAGGTAATAGATATTTATTTGATAATGTTAGAATCTGCAGCAGAAGTGCACCTGGCAGACCAAACAGGTGGTGGCATGAAAAAACCCTCCAAGAGTTTTCACACTTCAGTCACAAAATTTGCTTCCCAGATCTGATCATCATCGCCTTGGTAAATTCATTGTTGGATGCAATACGAAATAAGTTTTCTCCAACGTAAATGCTCCATGATAGTCAACAATTGTTGAATAGCATCTCATGTTTTGCTCACTTTTTAGCTCTTGCAGAAAAACAGCCACTTGTCATCTTCCTGCAGAGCATCTCAACTGATTCAATGTTGGGTATATTTAACCATCAGAAGGTGGAAAATCGTTTCAACCACCTAATACCCACTTCCTTTTCCTTCACCCCCTAAGACATGCACCTCATTTTACAAAAACAAGTTTGGAACCAGACTCAATGAACTGAAATTTTTTCCGGTAAAGTGTAAACAAACAACGACTTATTCGCTGTACGTTTGGTGTAAGAAATCTTCATCCTTTTATCAAGATAACAGAAACATGTAGGAGGTTTGAAATTTGAATTGTCAAATAATTCAGAAACGTCATTTTGCCAGTGCTACCAATGCAACATCACAGAACAGATAAAAGCAGATTCCAACGAATAGACATGACACAGAATTGCAACACCGACAATTCAGGTACACACTTTCGGCGTTTGTACTGAGATGATGCTGTCTCATATCAAATTGCAATTTATTACTGATGTTGGTAATTATATGGGAGAAAATGTTTAACATTCTTTAACGGCTTTGGAAGCGTAGAACGTGGACTAGCAGTCCAGTTCTATACCGAATTCCGTGTTTCTTCTATTTCTATTTGTTCCATGACTTGGCTCTCGGTTCTTCTGTTTTATCTTCTGTCTTGTTTCTGTCTCCACTCCACAAGGCAGGTGTAGGTCGTTTGTATTTTCTTTCCCTTATTTGTTTACATCATTTTCGACCGAAGAGTGTACCACTTGCGACCACCGCTGCTGCCTTTAATAGAAATTCTAACAGAAATCTTGAGTCTATTGTGTGCGCCAACAAAAAGCATGAACCGAGTTCATGAAGAAATCGGTCGATGTAAATCGGGTATAAAGAAAATGGTAAACTATTTAGATACCTATTAATCAGTCTGTCCAGTGAAATCCATATACCACTGATGTTATAATGTATACGAGAGAGAAGCGCGAGAAGCCTGCAATACGTGTGTTGGAAGGAGGTAGAAGCATCTAGTTGCCTATCAATCAGAGTGTGACGAGGCCACAGACGCACCTGCGGCGCATTCTCTCGTACACGTTAGCGGTGCATGCTTTTTGTTGGCGCACACAGGCTCAAGATTTCTGTTAGAATTTCTAGTAAAGGCAGCAGCGGTAGTCGTCGAAAATGATGCAAAGAAAATACGAACGACCTACACCTGCGTTGTGGACTATTGCTGTCGTCGCTATATCACTCTTATTTTGTGGTCGCTATGTTGGTTTGATTTTAGTCGATGGTTTGATTTAAGGAATATTTAGTCTCTTGTATCAGTGACAGAAACAAGACAGGAGATAAAACAGAAGAACCGAGAGCAAAGTCATGGAACACATACAAATAGAAGAATCACGGAATTTCGTATAGAACTGGACAGCTAGTCCACGTGCTACTCTTCCAAAGCCGTTAAAGAATGTTCAACATTTCCTCCCCTATAATTACCAACATTAGTAATAAATTGCAATTTGAAATGAGACAGCATCATCTCAGTACAAACGCCGAAAGTGTGTACCTGAATTGTCGGTGTTGCAATTCTGTGTCATGTGTATCCGTTGAAATCTGCTTTTATCTGTTCTGTGATGTTGTATTGGTAGCACTGGCAAAATGATGTTTCTGAATTATTTGACAGTTCAAATTTCAAACCTCCTACATGTTTCTGTTATCTTGATAAAAGGATAAAGATTTCTTACACCAAACGCACAGCGAATAAGTCGTTTGTTACCGGAAAAAATTTTGTTCATTGGTTCTCTGGTTCCAAACTTTTTTGCCTTAAAGCTGGTTGGAATTTGTCTATTTTTGTAAAATGAGGTGCATATCTTAGGGGGGTGAAGGAAAAGGAAGTGGGTATTAGGTGGTTGAAACGATTTTCCACCTTATGATGGTTAAATATACCCAACATTGAATCAGTTCAGATGCTCTGCACAAAGATGTGGCTGTTTTTCTGCAAGAGCTAAAAAGTGAGCAAAACATGAGATGCTATTCAACAATTATTGTTAACTATCATGGAGCATTTACGTTGGAAATAACTTATTTTGAATTGCATCCAACAATGAATTTCCCAACGGGATGATGATCAGTGCTGGAAAGCAAATTTTGTGCCAGAAGTGTAAAGGAGCATTCAAATTAGTAGCCTAATTTAATTTTTATTACTAAAACTCTTGGGGGGTTTTTTCGTGATGCCACCACCTGTTGGGTCTGCCAGGTGCACTTCTGCTGCAGATTCTAACACTATCAAATGAATATCTATTACCAGTTTGTAGCAGTTGCTTAGGATTCTTCATTTGCTACAGTATAAGGATACTACCAGTTTAATACATTCCACCCAATGATATTGACTACTCTCATTCAAGTAGGCTAGTTTGATGTTCATTGTCAAATTTCAAAAGTGTAAAACAGGAATAGAAAAAAAATTACACACGTTTTGAAATTCTGATAAAACCAGAATATATATGAGGGCAAACATGCGAAAAAGATATAGCAGTCCAGTTCTATATAAATCTATTGTTATATGTTCTGTGGTTGTTCTGTTGGTTGTGTCCCATGAATTCTACTTCATTGAGTATTTAACCTCTTGCATGTTTCTGTTATCCTAGTAAAAATTTCTAAAACCAAACCGGTAACGGGCAAGCGGGTTGTTTGTTTTGTGCTGTGTTAGCGTGGCTGCCTGACTTTAACAACCTTTACGTTCCTCCTTTCCCTGTGTGTCGTTGAAAGATTCGAGAAAACAATCTCCAGCTCTAAATTCTCCATAAAGGGTATACATTAATGAGTCAATTGAAGTGATTTAGAGTTTTTATCACTAGGATAGAAGTAAAAAATTGTTTCTCAGATAAATTGATTCCAACAAGATATAAATAACCTAACCTTATATTCGCACAATATTTTGCCATATGTAAAAATTTTCCTTTTTCTAGCGCAATGGCTACAACAGTTCAAACCAACGATATTTGGCTGACCAAAAAGATCTATGATGATGCTGAACGTATCTACTATGAAAATTTGTCAAAGGTGAGTACTAAAAATAGGCACTTTGAAAAAACAATTTTTGGCTCATGGTAATTACCATACCACATCATATGGATGTTTTTCGTGAATTTTTATTGATGTTTCACATATTTCACTTATACTTTCGCAAAAAAAACCGTGATTACCTTAAAAATGTTCAGGTTCTGCTAACTGAGTTAAGTTCTGATGAGCCTAGGTTCTTGAAGCAACTCAAGCCCTTATTCCTTTTGTCACTGTGTATATACAATTAAGCACAGGGGCATAAAAAAATATTCAAAGCTGAACTCTCATTATACCATGCACTCATATAAGAATGGGTGAATTTTGGCAAAGACAAATTTGGGGAACCTTGGGCTTTTAAAAAATAATGAAGTACAGAAAGAAAAATGTTGATGAAAGTTCAAATATGTTTTTTTCTAAAAACTCAAAAGTCTTACTTAGACAATTAACTCAAAATATGTTATTTTCAAAGCTGAAGAACTGGATGAGGATTCTTTTGCTTTTAAACAATGATATAGGTAAATGTGCCATATCTAAACCTTCTTATTCTTTCTTATAGGCCACTATAGCAGCTGATATTCCTAAAGCTCATGAATGTTTAAATGAGAATAGGAATAAAATTCAGGTGAATGTGTTGTTGTGCTGTTGTTTTCCTATTTAGAGTGTTTATTTTCAGAATATTTAATTTTTTGTAATGCATGAGATGCGTGTATATTGCAAAAGAAGTTGATATCAATAGGGTCACTAATGTACCTTGTACAGGGCATTCACAACTATGGACTTTGCAAAAACAGTCAGAGAGAAAAAATTCGTATACAAATCTACAAGATTTTTTCTTGAATACCTGATGATCACATTTTATCTGATTAGAATTGAGGATTTTATCAAATATTTGACTATTCTGATTGTTTAATTTAAGTGTTCAACAGAAAAAATGTGATTACTCAAAATATGATAAAATGCTGAAGTAATAGCATAGGCAAAATAGAAACCATTTGGGTTGTGATTGCTGGTTTGATGATGTTTATTTTGGTGATTTATTTGTATTAGTTGTCTTGTTGTCAACCTAGAGCATGTTTTGCTGGAGTCAAATGATTGAGAGTTCAAATCCTTCCCTAGGTTTTACTCCTTTCCAACAAAATATATTTTGTCGGATTCCATCAAGGATTTGGTGAATAAAACAGTGTTTTCTATTAAAGGATGCTAGCCCAAATGCATCGAGTGATGACCTCAAATCTCTGAAACAGCAGTTGGCAAAGCTCTTTGAAGAACAGGCCCGCGTGTCTGAAAGACTATTATATATAGAAACCATGTTGAAACACGGCATACCTAATCAAGCTGGTACAACCAGTTTGTGTAAACCTGAAGCTAAATCAGCTCCAAAAGAGGAACCTATGGAAGAAGATGATGTTGATCTGTTTGCCTCTGACTCTGACGAGGATGAAGCGGCAGCCAAGGTCCGAGAAGAACGGTTAGCTGCTTACAATGCCAAGAAGTCTAAGAGTAAGTCTCACTGCTGAAACATCCACTCAAAAGAGAAGGATTTCACATGGCCAAAAAATGGCAAAGGGCGATTTACTATACCGCCGATGCTGTTGTTCTAATTTTTGAGTTTCATAGCCAAACTTGGAGATTCACTCAAGTTTTTAAGTATGATGTATCATGAATCTCCACATCTCAAACTATATAAAATTAATCTCTGTCTTTCATTGATACCAAAAATTCAACATTTACAGCCATTTAGCATCTACAACTCCAAACCCCAATTTTGACCCACTCCATAAAATTTTTGAATTCTTCTGATGCTTTTTCGTTCTTGACATAGTAGGTAATAACCCTGCGTGAAAATACAAAAATATAAAGATTTTAGCATGAGATGTGTTCGAATAATCATGAAATCAATTCTTTACAGAACCTGCTCTGATAGCAAAATCTAATGTCATCTTGGACATAAAACCATGGGACGATGAAACTGACATGAAAAAAATGGAGGAGTGTGTACGCAAAATCGAGGCTGATGGCCTTCTATGGGGTGCTCATAAACTAGTGCCACTAGCGTACGGAATTCACAAACTGCAGATCTCATGTGTTGTTGAGGATGACAAAGTCTCTATTGATTGGCTGACTGAACAGCTACAGGCTTTAGAAGATTATGTAAGTATCTTTAGACTAGGCGAAAATCTTTCACACTTTATTTTTCATATCACATTTGTTGGATAAATCAAGAAGTAACCAGATGCAAAGTTGTTTACCCCTCTCCTCATTTAACATATTAGGAAAAACTGTTTTTTTTAGTTCTGGACTAAAATTATCCGTTTTAAAGTTATAAGGAATTTGTTTGGAAAACCCTTAAAATGTTGTTACAGAGTGTCTTAAGTTCAAAGCTTCCTGTCTGTTGCGTCAAGCTTAGAAAAAAGTTACTAAGTAACTTTCTTGTTCAGATAGATCCAAAGACCTAAAAAAAAACCGTACTGAACAATAAAAAATAATTTGTTGTCATTTGTTCTGAATTACTATTTTTCCCCCAGACTAAATTCCAACTAAGATTATTTTTAGTGGTTTTGTAATAGTGGATAATCAATGACTTGATACATTTTCTTTTTTCCAGGTACAAAGCGTAGATATTGCTGCTTTTAATAAAATTTAAGTTTTCAGCTGTTATTTTTTTCTAATTCTGTATGTTGTGGATTACTTAATTGAAAAATAAATGCAATCATTTTATTTGTTGTTTTATTTATAAACTACTAGACTAAACCCACCGGTATATTTCTTGCAGCCGATTTCTTAGTCGCAACTTTTCCTCTGTGTCGAGACGATTTTTCGCCTTATCACCTCCATAGGTGATCATAGCAGATGGAATGGAAAAGAAATAAAAAATGTATGTTTTTGGGGCTTTATTTACAACTGGATTGTACAACATTATTCTAATACTATACACTTCAATCTCGAATGGCTACCTACAATCAGTTTTAATAAAAAAAAGTTATTGTAGTAAGTATATATCGTTGATATATTAATTATATATAACATAAAAAGGTTAAATAAATAACTTTTACTCATACATAATTGATGAGTTAAAATGACAGAAACCGTTCAGTTTTCTTGACATTGAGCCATCATTTCAAACGGTTACAAGTGGTCATTAAAATATGTTCCATGATACAAAGTTTCAATTATTACAACAATAAGCAAAGTAAAAATTATTAAGTATGTATCAATTTGCTTCTTGTATTTTTGTTACATCAGTTTGATTTCCACCAATATACATTTTTGTTTATTGCAAATGAACCAATTTATCAGTACAGAAAACAAAATTTTGGACTGCATTCTTTGAAGCGTATTATTTCAGAAATCAAAATGATGAAACATTGCAGATTTGAAATAAGGAGTAGACGCATGATTCAATGATTTAATTTAGATGGTCTGCGATATTTACTACACTTGGCTTGAACCTGAAGATAGCCTTCGAAAAACTATCCGACATGAAATCTACGAGATTTTTTCACAGCTATGGCGCTCCTCTCCGCAATAATTAGCAGTCTATTTTGAAAAGGTCAGTGCTTCGTAGATGGTACTGTGCTGGTGCTAATATCATCATATACATGGTGTCCCATTTTAATCTTTCGTTAATAATTCGAAAACTACGCATTCTAAAAGTTTCAAATAAAAGTTGCGAGGATTTCGAGGAGGCAAAATGATGCTGACCTTGACTACAACTCTGCACTAAAATGATCATTTTAAATTCAAGCAACTATTTTCACATCGGAATTGAAAAGAGTAGCAAATATTACGTCCTAACATGACCTTGATCGTTGACTTCACGGTCAAATAAAAACATCGAAAACAATTTGCTTTGACCTCGAATAACATTTAAGCTTGACGCGACCTTGACTTTGAGGTCAATGTCACTATTTTCACACATCGGAATTGAAAAAAGCTGCAAATATCACGTCCGAACTTGACCTTGACCGTTGCCTTCACGGTCAAAGAAAGACATCGAAAACAATTTGCTTTGACCTCAAATAACATTTAAGCTTGACGCTACCTTGAATTTGAGGTCAAGGTCACATTCGTACGTTACATTTCCAGTATAAAGATGAGAGGTTTCTTTTGGAAATTTCGACGTCCTTGAAGGTCAAGGTCACCTTTGAGTGGTCACAATCCTCACAACTGTTCTGTTGAACATTTTTGCTAGAACAATTTTTTGTCAATATCTTGATTCGATCTTGAAATGGCTTTAAAGGCAATGGTCAAGTTCATGGCCAAGATGATGTTCGGATGTAAAATTTGCTTTTCAGTTCCGTTGTGAGAAAGGTGTCCTATTCACTTGATCTTGAAATTACCTTGAAGGTCGCAGTTAAGGGCATCGTCAAGAGTTACCTTTTCAAAGATTCCTAATAAAGTAAAGAGGGGGAAAGAGCTGTGACAAATACAGTATGTGATTTCATCTCAGAAAATTTTTCGGATGGCTATCTTCAGGAGTATGTTAATCAATGCTATAGATTAATGCAAAAAATTGGTACATAATCATCATGAACTGAAACTGAAGTCAGCTGAAGACATCTACTGAATCTGTGATATTTTCAGGATAAAGTACACTCTTCTCTTTGCAAACGTTATCGATTGACAAATTCAGGATAAGTCTTCATTTATGTGCTATCGAAAGAAAAATGAACAAAACTAACATCACCACTGAAGAAAGTGTCGAGTTGTATGTTTCCGAAGGTAAAAACCGCGAGTATGAATCAAATTTGAATTTTTCGCCAACAATATTCAAATCATTGCATCATGGTTAGAAATATCAGACTTGACCTCAGACACCCCAATGTAGGGGCACACCATACAATAACTGGCTTGTTAAGAACTATAAAAATATTTTATTGAAGTCGCTAGTATATATTTTTGAAAATATCCTAAGGTAATTGCACCTGCTAATTGTTGTAAAAATCCTATCGTGCTAGCGATTTTTCGAAAACAGATTACTAACTACAATTACTTCAAACCGGATGAACCAAAGGAGAAAAATATTGTCTTAGAATACGCATTCAAAAGAAATGCTCAAAAGATTCTTGCTACAAATAATTAGCTACTTTGTTCGGAATATTTAATTTTATTCTTTTTTAATATCAATCAGAAGCTCAATACGTAAAAATGAAATAAAAATATAATATAAAATCTTTCATGTGTATATTATTTCAATTGTAATGTAAATTTATAAAATATTGGTCACTTAGGCCAGCTAAATGCAGATATTATGTAGCATCCCACCTAACTGAACAAGTACAGTGCTGACCAAACTTGTTTTCCCTTTTACATTCCCACCTGTACAAGAGTGACAGCATGTTAGACAGAGTGGGTCATGTAAGCGTCGTCACGTTGCCTAGCAACACCGTTGTCTTTCAGGTAACACCGTCGTTGTCAGGCAACAACGTCGTTGTCTGGCAACACCGCCGTTGTCTGGCAACACCGCCGTTGTCTGGCAACACCGTCGTTGTCAGGCAACACCGTCGTTGTCAGGCAACACCGTCGTTGTCAGGCAAAACCGTCGGTGTCAGGCAACACCGTCGTTGTCAGGCAACACCGTCGTTGTCAGGCAACACCGTCGTTGTCAGGCAACACCGTCGTTGTCAGGCAACACCGTCGTTGTCAGGCAACACCGTCGTTGTCAGGCAACACCGTCGTTGTCAGGCAACACTGTCATTGTCAGGCAAAACCGTCGTTGTCAGGCAACACCGTCGTTGTCAGGCAACACCGTCGTTATCTGGCAACACCGTCGTTGTCAGGCAAAACCGTCGTTGTCAGGCAACACCGTCGTTGTCAGGCAACACCGTCGTTATCTGGCAACACCGTCGTTGTCAGGCAACACCGTCGTTGTCAGGCAACACCGTCGTTGTCAGGCAACACCGTCGTTGTCAGGCAACACCGTCGTTTTCTGGCAACACCGTCGTTGTCAGGCAACAACGTGGTAACGATGCTTATATAACGCAGTCTGTCAAACACGCTTTTCTCGTTTCTTTCTCGTACAGATCTAAAAGGGAAAACGTCTTTGGCCAGCAATGTATATGAACTCTCAAACTTTTGAAGCAAATGTACCCTGAATATTTCGAGAATATGCGAACTCAAGTATTTTTGGTAAACTCATATTCAATCCAGTGAGGCACTACAACACGTATCAGGCAACGAAATTGTAATAATTATGACTATTCAAACACCTTCATTTAAGAAAGTAGTGGATTTTAGTACAGTTTCAATATTACATTAATAAATCTGCCATAGCTGTTTATTGTAAAAAAATTTGACAAAAAAAATCATGCATTCAACTCGGACAAAATTGATATGTTCGGTAGATACTTTTATTGCACAATAACTGGTTTGAATCAATAGGCCCTTCCATGGTGTATTTTTAATAATACTAATAAATATTGATCCAAATACAATAAAATGTATTGTTTTAACTCTGAAAAGTGTTTAAGTCAATTGTAGTCGGTATTTTGAAAGAGGAAAAGCCTATTGTAGAAAACGATGTTTATAATAATGATTCCACACATTTAATTTTTGCGACGAACATCCAATAGGTAAAACAGCAATGTATTTCCTGTGAAAGTGTTAGCAAAATCTAATTCGCAAAGTATATAACTACTTTGATATTCTGATCATCAATTATAAAATTCCATCTGGGAATGATGACAATTCAAATTACGAACATATATATTCCAAAATAATAATAAATATATTCCTCAAAGACCATAAAAAACCTGAGAACCAACAAATCGCTGCCTCTGACTATCTGATTCAAATACGAAATGCTAGTCACAATGATTGACCGAAAATACAATCAGTTATAAACGAGAAAACAAAAAATCTGATCACTGTGATTCACCCATTTTAGGGAAGGTGCAAAATACATGCGTAAGGATGGTGTTATCGAAAAATACAAGAAGTTTTCCGGGTCATTTTGTATGTAATAATGCTCGCCAGTGTCAAAATCTGCCCTGTTCAACCCACCTTGTATAATCACTGTGATAGAATTTTGCTAATACTTATAGGAAGGATTCCCTAATGTTCACAACAGATATGGTTCAACACATATATTTCTATCGGGTTTTCCAATAGGGATTTGACAACTTTGAACTTTCACTGTGAACGCATCTTTAAATCATTTACCGAACTGTCAATCTCAAAACATTCAGCAAAGAGTAAGTAAAAAAAAAATAGTCCACATATTCGCTGCTGGATGTTCCCGTGCCAGTGAGACAATGGGTTGTTTGAAGTGCCTAGAAATGACCAATTTCATCGCAAAATTATCTTCAGTTATGAGGCTAGACAGCTTCGTCAACAGAATATGCGTTATTGGTCAGGTGCTTCAAGAAACACCACTTCATCCACAAAAAATGTTATGGTGCGGTTTTCATGCCAGTGGTGTGATTGGGCCCTTTTTTTTTCGTTGATGAAAATGACCGTCACGTTACAGTCAACGGAGATCGCTACAGAGACATGTTGCAACGTTATTTTTTGGTCAACGGGATGGGTTAGACATTAATGATATGTGGTTTCAACAAGACGGTGCCACAAGCCACACAGTGGGTGAAACAATCGAACGTGTTATATCGAGAAATGGTCCTGTCGAATGGCCGCCTAGATCGTGTGATTTAACACCTCTAGACTTTTTTTCTGTGGGGCTACCTTAAATCATTGGTCTATGCCAACAAGCCGGTGTCGTT